CCCCGCACCCATCTGCACCCATTTGCACCCACCTCCACGCCAGTGACTATGGTGCCGTCCCGCCGTATCCCGTGAATCTCCCCCATAGCCGCCTCATATGCCACGCCTGCATGCTCATCCGCGCTATAGTCACTCGCAGCTATGTCCACAAACTTGAGCGTGCCAAACTCTTTATTGCGACCCTGCAGAAAGTCCACCTGGGGAGAGTGCGGGGAGGCGCAGAGAGGGAAGGGCAGGGGGGAGGGGCAGGGGGGTGGGTCCGAGTGTCACTCGCTGCTATGTCCACAAACTTAAGCGTGCCAAACTCTTTATTGCGACACTGTAGAAAGTCCACCAGAGGAAGGGGGGGTAGAGGGGGGGAGGGTGGGGGCCGCGAAGAGTGAAAACACACATGGGACTCCCTGTCATGTGTTTCTGCCACCACCCATTCACACCCATTCACACCCATTCACACCCATTCATACCCCATCCCCCCTCTTCCACTCATCTCCCCCACATTCCCCACCTTCAACCCCCATTTGCCATCCGCCACCCTCACCCTCTTCCCTCATCCGCCTTGCGCGCATTCCCCCTCATCCTATGCGCGCATCCTCCCCCCCCTCCCCCCATCCGCCCTCGCGCGCACCTCTCGCATGCAGATGGGGCAGTCGCCGTCGTACAGCAGCTTCAGCTGCCACGTGTCGTCCTCTGATTCCTCCACCGTCGCCGCTTGCACCGGGCTTCCTGAGGGCGGCGGCGGCAGGAAATGAGAGGGGGTTAAGGGGAAACGGGGGAGGGGGAGAGGGCGGGGAGTGGGGAAATGGGGGAGGGGGAGAAAATGAAAAATGGGAGGGAGAGAATGGGAAAGGGGGAGCGTGGGGAAATGGGGAAGGAGAGGGGGAATGGGGAGGGTAGGAGGGGGGCAATGGCAGAGTTAGAGGGGAGTGAGGAAGTGGTAAGCGGCGCTAGCGGCGGGTGAGAGTGACGACTCGACGTCACAGGCAAGTCACTGACCTTGGGCCGCCGCTCTGCTGAAACGGTGGAGCCGCCTTCCAGTGGAGCCTGCAGGAGCGGAGCGCACTGAGAAGGACGGCGCCGCGACACAGCGCGCCGCAGCTAGTAAATTGGTTACATTGGAAGAGCTACTACTACCGTCGGAGCGCGTGGTAGTGGAACTAGAACCAGTCGCAGCGAGCCGCAGAGGAGCCGGATCGCGAGAGACGACGGCTGTGGTAACGTTTATAGAGGAAGTCGGCACTGTCGCGGCTCGGCGGAGCGCAGGACTTTTCGCGGGAAAAAGCGCCGCGACTGCTGGGCGGCATGCGACGGTCGCGGCCGGCAAAGAAATTCGCGCAGCGGCGGCTGCGCGCGCGAGTTGGAGTTGCGCGGTGGAAGCGGAGGAGACGGCCGCGGCCATACGAGCTTGGAGAATTAGAAACTACTCGTGGCTGAGTCGTATCTCAGCGGGAAGGGGAAACAAAATGTAATAGAGATCTTCACGCTACTGTAGTAGTGTGTGAACTATTAGCCGAGCGCTGTTGTAGAATGCGCGCCTTTTTACGCGGCACGAGCTGCAATGAAAAATTCAGTTGGGTTGGGGAAATCTAACAGACGCGCCAAACGAATTGGTCCGCGTTGATTGGGTAGCGCGTGGCGAGATGAAGGGATCGAGTGGTGCCACGACAGCTCCGAAAAACCGTTCTCAGGCGGCCACGCCAGCGTAAACTGTACGCGTTATGATGCACTACGAGTTTCGTTGCAATTCTACTTTAACCGACCAATTATGTTTGGAAGGGATTGCATCCAATCCAGGTTATGTATGATGTTCCGACATACGCGGTACAAGCTGTCACATCCAGAAAAATGAAAACCACTTCCTGTGTTTCACATTTTCCATTTCGTGATCGACAAGGGTGGCAGTGTCAGAACCCTTCCCTTCCCTTCCCTTTCCCCTCAATCCCTTACCCCATTATAAGAACCTCGCGACAATGGAGGCTCTTTCTTCCCGGCAGCTACTCACGAGCCCGATCCCCCTTCGTTCCTATATTCGCGCCTGTGATACAGTCACATTCCGGTCGGCGTCACGCCCTGTGCTCCCGTCGCGCACGCGCGTTACAGTCACTCCCACCGCCAGCGCTCTCGGCCACGGGGAGAACCCCCGCCAAGCGCGCAATGCCGCGCCGCCCTCCGCCGTGTCGCAATCCGCGGAGTCGCGCGCGCAGCAGGCGGGCGCGGAGAAGGAGGAGCCGCTCCCCGTGTCGCATCTGACGGCGATCTCCCCCGTCGACGGGCGCTACGGGCGGCTGTCCGCGCTGCAGCGGCTCCGCCGCATCTTCAGCGAGTTCGGTCTGATTCGATTCCGCGTGCTTGTGGAGGTGCGTGATAGTAGCGACGTGTAATAGTAGCGACGTGTGGTAGTAGCGACGTGTGATAGTAGCGATGTGTGATAGTAGCGACGTGTGATAGTAGCGACGTGTGATAGTAGCGACGTGTGATAGTAGCGACGTGTGATAGTAGCGAGGGGCAGGATGAGACTGGCACGCATTGCTGATGCTATTATAGCAAACTGAGGCTCTTCCCCACTTCCGCGGCCTCCGCCCACTCCCCCCGCCCCTTCTCCTCCCCTCTTTCTTCCCTAAACCCTCAACCCCCCTTCCCTCAACCCCCCTTCCCTCTTCCCCCGTCCTCCGCCCGCCCCCCCTCTTCCACTAACCAGGTGCGGTGGCTGCAGCAGCTGTCGCGCATGCCAGAGGTGGTGGAGGTGCCGCCGCTCTCCCCCCAGGCCCATGCTGATCTGGACGCTGTTGTAACAGGTGGGTGGGGAGAGGCGAACGGGGAGGGCAGTGGCAGGTAGGTAGGGGCCCGGAGGAGGAAGGAGAGGAAGTAGTAAGGATAGGCAGGTGGTGGAGGTGGCAGGGAGGTAGGGAGAGAGGGGAGTAAAGAGAGGGAGGTGGTGGTGGTGGAAGTGGCGCCTGTCTCCCCCCAGGCGCATGCTGACTTGGATGCTGTCGTGAGAGGGGGGTGGGGTGGGGTGGGGTGGGGAGAGGGAAGGCGAGTGAGGCAACGGGGCGAGGGAGAGAGGGAAACAAGGAGCAGCTGGTTGGTGGGGAACGTGGAGGGGTTGGTTGGTGGTGGAGGGGTTGGTTGGTGGTGGAGGTGCCACCTCTCTCCTCTCCCTCCCCCAGGCGCATGCTGACTTAAAGGCTAATGTGGCTGGTGGGTGGAGCAGTCAAGGAAAGGGGAGTGGGAGGTGGGCGACTTTTGAGGCGCCTCAAAAGGGGAGTGGGAGGTGGGCGGGCGAGAGGGGAGTGGGAGGGAAGGAGGTGAGGAACAGTTACTCAATGTGCTTTCTGTTTGAGACTTGAGACTTGCTAAAATTTCTTCCAACGGCTCACATTTGATTGATAGACTTGGGAGTTGCGCTGTGGTGGGGTGCTGTGCGGTGCTGCAGGGTTCAGTGAGGCGGACGCGCGGGAGGTGAAGCAGGTGGAGGCGACAACCAACCACGATGTGAAGGCGGTGGAGTACTTCCTTAAAGCCCGCTTCCAGGACCACCCAGAGATCAGCCCGGTGAGTGAGTAGGCAGGCAGTGATGCGGTGGTGTGTGCATGCGGTGGGGACTGCACTGCGTTCAGGGACTGCTTTTGAGACGTCTCAAACCTGGGGACTTCACTGCACTGCACTGCACTGCACTGCACTGCACTGCACTGCACTGCACTGCGCTGCACTGCACTGCACTGCACTGCACTGCGTTTTGTGGATTAACAATTTTGCTTGGTGGGGGAAAGGGGGGGATGCAGGGGTGCGGTGCATTGCAGTAGCTTGCACTGATATCCACGCTCTGAAAGCATCAACCTCCAATTCACATCCCGTCCCCTTCATGCCTCCCTTCCCCTCCTCTGCGCTTGCTCTACTCTCTCTCCTCCATCACTCCCTTCTCGTCCACCTCAACGCGCTTTCTCTCTCTCTCGCTAGTAGGTTCTTGATTTTTTCCACTTCGCGTGCACGTCAGAGGACATCAACAACCTCTCACACGGCCTCATGCTGTCCCTTATCCGCTTCCTCTCTCCCCCTTCCCCCTTTTCCCCCCCACACCACAACCAGATCCTGGAATTTTTCCACTTTGCGTGCACGTCAGAGGACATCAACAACCTGTCACACGGCCTCATGCTGTCCGCCGCCGTGAAGGACGAGGTGCTCCCCGCCATGGATGGGCTCATCGGCATGCTCAAGAGCATGGCACACACATACGCGGACCAGCCCATGCTTTCCCGTACTCACGGGCAGGTGAGCACACACACACACAGACTAGCAAGTAGGTACGTGCAAGTGCCAGACACGGGAGCAGGCAGGCGTGAAGGAGGAGGTGCTGCCAGCCATGGATGGACTCACTGGCACGCTCAAAGGGATGGCGCACACATATGCAGACCAACTCATGCTGTCACGCACCCACCCATGGGCAGGTGAGGGCAGATAATATAATGTGGGCAGGTGAAGCAGTACAGGCTAGCAGGAAGGTGGAGACTCCAGTCTCAGCAGCAGGCAGCCGTGAAGGATGCGGTGCCGTGCTGCCTGCCATGGATGGGCTCATCGGCACGCTCAGAGGGATGGCGCACAATTGTAACGAGGTGACTTTTGAGTCGACTCAAAAGTCACCATGGATGGGCTCATCGGCACGCTCAGCTCAGAGGGATGAGAGAGAGAGCATGATGCCCACAGCAAGCAGCAGGCAGGCAGCCGCCGTGCAGCAAGAGGTGCTTCCAGCCATGGATGGGCTCACTGGAACGTTGAAGCGTATGGCACACACGCATGCGGATCAGCCCATGCTGTCACGCACCCACAGACAGGTGAGGACAGGCAGGCAAGCAGGTTGGCTGGTAAGTGATAGTGGGAGGCACACAGCAACCCGCAATCAGCAGTCAGCAATCAGAGAACAGCAATCAGCAAACAGCAATCAGCAAACAGCAATCAGCAATCAGCAATCAGAGAACAGCAATCAGCAAACAGCAGCAATCAGCAAACAGCAATCAGCAATCAGCAATCAGAGAACAGCAATCAGCAAACAGCAATCTCTCATCGCCCTACATTGGTGATACCCCAGCATGCAATTCTCCCTGTTTTGCTCGTGTCCCGCTTTTGTCCTTTTCCTCCAGACCGCCTCCCCCACAACGGTCGGCAAGGAGCTGGCGGTCTTCGCCGCCCGGCTGCAGTCCCAGCGAGATCAAATCTCCGCCGTCCAGATTCTCGGGAAAATGGCCGGCGCGGTCGGCAACTACAACGCCCACGTTGCCGCATACCCGGACGCTGATTGGTCGGCTGTATCAGAGGAGTTTGTAACGCGATTAGGGTTACGGCTGAACCCGTATGTGACGCAGATCGAGCCGCATGACTACGTGGCAGAGCTGTTTGATGCCGTGTGCCGCTTCAACACCATTTTGATCGATCTCGACCGCGACATGTGGGGATATATCTCCCTCGGCTATTTCCGACAGGTGGGTGGGAGGGGGAGCTGGTGGGTATGATAGGGCCGGATCTGCAGATCGAGCCGCATGACTATGTGGCAGAGCTGTTTGACGCTGTGTGCCGCTTCAACACCATTCTCATGGATGTCGACCGCGACATGTGGGGGTATATCTCCCTGGGCTACTTCCGCCAGGTGCGTGGGAGGGTAGGGGGTGCTGAGGGGGGCTGATGTTGTGTGCAAGGGCTGGCCTGCCGCATGACTCTGTGGCAGAGCTGTTTGACGCCGTGTGCCGCTTCAACACCATTCTCATCGACTTTGATCGGGACATATGGGGGGTACATCTCCGTCTCCCACCTTCCCTCCTCCGCCCGCTTCCCCTTGCATTTCCCACCAGCACCCTGTGAGGGCGAGATAGGCTCGTTCATCATCCCCCACCGTTGAGAATTCTCAAAAGTGACTCACAAGGTGGGTGAAGCCGACTGACTTTTGAGGCGCCGCAAAACTCAAAAAAAATGAGGCGCCTCAAAAGTGGGCCCGACCGACTTTCGCAACAGTGAAGAGGAACCTTTCATTTCCATCCCATGCCACACACTTCCCCTTTCCCGCCTCTCTCCTCTCCTGTTCCCCCTTGCACATCTGTACGTGTGTGTGTGTGTGTGTGCAGCGCCCTGTGAAGGGCGAGATAGGCTCGTCCACCATGCCGCACAAGGTGAACCCCATCGACTTTGAGAACAGCGAGGGCAACCTCGGGATTGCCAACGCCATCATGGGTCACCTCTCTGCCAAGCTGCCGATTTCGCGCTGGCAGGTGAGAGGGACGCGGGTGAGGGTTGGCAGGTGTTGAATGCGGTACTGGCCATGCTGGCAGCGAGGGCAACCTCGGGATTGCCAACGCCATCATGGGGCACCTCTCTGCCAAGCTGCCCATCTCACGCTGGCAGGTGAGAGGGGGAGGTGCGAGTAGGTGAGGGGTTGGCAGGTGTTGAGTGCGGTACTGGTCATGCTGGCAATGGGGGCAACCTCGGGATTGGCAACGCCATCATGGGCCACCTCTCGGCCTAGCTGCCCATTTCGCGCTTCTTGGCCGTGCTGCTGTAGGTGTGGGGGCTAAACTTAAAACTCCCACGCCTATTCTCGTCCTCCCCTCTTCTCTTCTCCGCTCATTCACACCTGCCTGCCCTCCCCGTACCCCACTCCTTGCTCCATACCCCCACCCCCCCCCCCCCCCCCCCCGCCACACTTCGCCCCATTTATTGCACCTCGTTTTCCAGAGGGACCTGACGGATTCAACTGTTCTGCGCAACCTGGGGGTGGGCATCGCGCATTCCATCATCGCCTACAGCAGCACGGCCAAGGGACTCTCCAAGGTTGATTTGGATGCTGCCAGGATTGAAGCCGACTTGAACAACTCGTGGGAGGTGCTGGCGGAGCCCATTCAGACGGTGAGTGGTGGGGAGGGATGGAAAGGGGTGTATGTATGAGGTTACAGGTAGGTGCTGTGAGGATTGATGCAGACTTTAACGACTCGTGGGAGGTGCTGGCAGAGCCCATTCAGACGGTGAGTGGTGGGGGAAATTTGGAAGGGGATGAGGGGAGAGAGGGAGAAGGAGAGAGGGAGAGGGAGAGAGAGGGAGAGGGAGAGAGAGGGAGAGGGAGCGCCTCAAGGAGGCAACGAGATCGGGGGATGCAATAATAAGTCTAGATTTATATTCTTCTCTATGCCCCCCTCCTCCCCCTTTTCCACTCCCTCCTTCCCTTTCCCCCTCCCCCCTCCCCTCCTTCCCCACGCACACCCTTCTCCCAACCAAACAGGTGATGCGGCGCTACGGAGTTCCCAATGCTTACGAGCGCCTCAAGGAGGCAACGAGAGGGAGATCGGTGACGCAATCAGATCTGATCGCGCTGATAGATTCCCTGGAGGGTGAAGTGCCCGACGAAGCCCGGGAGCAGATGAGACAAATGACGCCGGCCAGCTATGTGGGGCTTGCTGCCAGGCTGGCAAAGGAGGTGTAGGCAGTGGATATGCATGCTGATAGAAGTGTTTTTAGCCGAGTGTTGCGATGGGCACCTTGTGATTTGAGGGTGAAGAGGGGGGTGTTGTCTATGGACGACTGAATACACGGTAGAGTAGTGCAATGTTGTATGCTTGCCATTTTCTTATGAAATCCACTTTGAAAAGGTAAGGTTTCGATTGCATGAAACACAAGGTGAGGTGGTTAGGGTGGAAGTTGACAAGGTGAGGGTTTGCTTAGCCACAGCAAATGATTCTTAGAAACACGAGTCACAGCTGAAAGAATTATTTACAAACGAGGATAACCTCGTTCTCGAACCTTCTTTTTCCCACCAACCTCCTCGCCAGCAAGCCGCACTAGTCAAGCCTCCCATTGGCCGAAAGAATTGCCGTTCTTTTTGCCAATCCAGCTCAGTATTGCTACTTGCGGCAGCCGTTGTTTGCGCCATCGGCTCTTTTTCTTCGGCGTGAAAAGACTTCAGCGCGGGTCGCTCATCCCCTCTGCGTCTGTGTCGCCGCGGCCTCTTAGTATTTCAGAACCACGCGGCGCTATGGCCGATCATTAGCGCGCTCGCGGATACACCTGAGAAGTTGCATGCTGCTCTTCACTCGTTAATAAATAGCTGGATATTCTTCCGCGCCCCGAGCCATGCACGAAGGTTTGCGACGGCTCGTGTCTTCGTCGCGACGTCGTCACCCGCGGAGGTGTGTAGGGAAGACTTTTGAATAATAATCCGCTGTAGGCTCGGCAGGAGCATCGATAATTTCGCGATGTCGTCAACGTCGCACTGCATGTTCGTCAAAGCGAGGGTAGTCAGGTCTCGGTGCATGACCGCATCTGTCGCCGCGCTGCTTTCGCCAAGAAGCTGGCGAAGGTTCCCTCCGATGAGCTCTAACACTCGCAGCGAGTAACACTTTCGCAAGGCCATAAGGTCGTCTTTCGCAAGTGCACCACAGTGGATTCGCAGGTACGCGAGTTCTCGCCAAGCGATAACCATCAGGTAAATCGCCTGTTTCGTTAGGCTGTTTTGGCACAGGCACGCGAAACTGCGAACGCGACGGAATCCCGACGTTAGGTACCACATGGCCTTGTTTTCGAGATAGTTGAAGTTCCCCTTTTCGCCATTCGATATAAGCTCGACGCTTTCAACATTACTGCAGTAAAGACTGCACAATGGAAGGGGCAGCGGGAGAAGAGAGCAAAAAGGATTCCAGGTAAGTGCATGTGATAGAAGAGCTGTATAGAAAAAAAGTACGTCCCGCGGGACGTGATAACTGTAATTGTTATGTGGTGCACGAACAATTCGAACTGAGACGCGCGTAAACAAAGGCGAATGCAAGAAACAAAAGGATGAGAAACTTTGCTCACCTGACTATCCAGAGAACGCTGCAGATGGAAGCCTCGTTGCGGCTCGTGTCATCTCGATCGCAGTCGATGACGATGCGCTTTAGCGACGGGCCGCACGCCATGATTATCGGGTGCAGCACGTGCAGCTCGCAGCGCGGGTCGTCGATGTGGATCTCCTCCAAATGCGCGCATCGCGACGCGAGCTGCTCGACTCCCGCGCGCATGCTCCCGGGGCCTATGCGAAGCTTGGTCCAGAAAACCGGGTTGTAACAGAGGTTTCGCAACGTGCGGTTCACGCACGCGAGACGAGACAGGTCCCAAGCCGTGGGCTGCGCGAGCTGGAGGATATGGAGTAACAAGTCTTCGCCGAGATCGCCAAGCGACGGGGCGGCGGAGGTTGTCGGCATGGGCGGGGATTCCGCTTCGGGTGGAAGAACGTTGAGGTCGACAAGGGGTTGCGCCCTTGGCCAAGCCTTACGGATACATACGCGTTTCGGGGGGGGAGAGGGAAGGTCTGCTACATGGAAAGTGGTCGGCTGGAAGGCTTCTCGTTCCACTTTCTTGGCCATGATATCGACTAAGCGAGAAAACCGACGACACAGCCCTGACAGGGGATGCGTTGCCAGTAGTTAGCTGAAGTACGCGACGGTGAAAACAGAAACGGACTGAGCAGGATTGGAATGCAGCGTCCTGGACTTCGAGAGATCGTATGCTATGCTCGTCATTGCAAAAGCGGGCTATTTGTGCGAGCTGAGACGAACTAGATCGTTGGTTGTCTCAACGTGTCCTCAGTCAGGGACCTCGAATTCTATATCCCACCGAGTAACAATTGATGAGTGAGCAGGCATCGCCTGTCATGCCAGCTTTCCTCATGAAGGGGCTGTAAAGTGATGATGTCTCAGATTTGAGGAGTTTGCCACCCAGCATTCATCACTTAGCAAATCGCAGTCTTCCTCACACGACTGTGTCTCTGTGCGTCACTGTATCGTACTGCTGCTACTGGGTGGGATGGTAGGGATGTTAGCTTGCCATTGGAGATTATCGCGTTAGCCTGGCAACGCTCTTCTACAACCTGTACTTACATAAGTGGCTGTACTTGAATTGAATCGCCACTGGCATTGTGAGTTGCGGCGACGGCGAAATAGCTGACGAAATATCATCGTCTGCCTTTCGCCACCAAAGAGTGCATGCGCACACGTCAAACGCAGTTGTTGGCATCGGATTGCGGCTCCGCCAGAGCTGGGCGCGGATATCCCAGCTAAACAACAGCATCATGAAAAGCTAATTACACACTGGCATGGTAGTTGCCAGTCATGATTGTGGTGTGGAGAGGCTGGCTATAACGCTGGCGCAGTCGTGGACCAGTGAGCCTGTAAGCGCGTTGAAATGAAGAATCAAATCGTCAAGGAAATGACGGGGGCTTGAAGGGAAAATGATTCTAGAATCCTTCTTGCCCGCAGAAAATCACCGATTATCCATGGACGAACGTGCAGGAGTCCACGATCTTTTGGCTGTCACAGGATGTTGCCAGGGAAACCTTCCTCTTTGTGGGCTGGCTGTCCATGTGTGCAATGCTGCCGAATGTGCCTACTTTCGAATGCCTCGTTACAATATTGAGAAGCTGAGCACAGTGTACCAGATTCGTTCTATGGCGAAGCATTCACGAATATTCATAAGCTGCGACCAATTATCATTCGGCTTCTGTACATTTTCACAGCATGGGGACTGGGTCCGCGACATGCCCCTCGCGGAAAGGGGTAGTCGGCGCAACTTTCCGCCTGACGCTCTTCTGCCACCCTCCGTCCCATAGCGCGTACGTACCAAGCCCCGCACACCAGCTGCACTCCCTGGTTCCCCATTCTTCCCCACGCGGCGTGTCAGATCGCCTTCCTACGACGTTGGGACAGGGCAGCCCCCAAAAGTGCAAATATCTGGGTCCTACCTGGCAGTTTTCACGTTCCTCACCTACCTCGTGTGTCCCGAGTTCGAAGTTGGGACAGCCCAGGAAGGCCAGAGACTACGGTGCTGTTCGCCAGCACCAATATAACTGAAAACGACGGGATAACAACGGGATCAGGAAGGTGGGTCTCGCCTTCCTGATCCCGTCAGTTAGAGTTCGTTAACCTCCGTCAGCTTGGTCAGCCCGTGAAAAATGTGCCGAGCCTCACCAACCGTCCAAACCAATTAACAAAGTGGGCGTCTGGCGAACGCCCACTTTTGTACACCGATTTTTACGTTTCGACAGCATGTGGAAGCGGGGACGAAACTTCCTCCCCAGGCAAAACACCATCCCTTTGCGATGCCATCGTCATGCTGCGTTTTTCGAAGCACAGCGGTGGCACAGCGGTGGCACCGCGGACGCATTGCTGTGCAGGGGAACCCTCGAACAAGCCTTCATTTTGACACAGGGGGGTTCGTATACCCCCCATTTCCCCCCCCCCCCCCCCCCAACATAACCCCGTCGAAATCGAACGCGTTTTATTTGCGTTTTTTACCCACGTTGAGCATTTTTTTGTCAGCGGGCAGCAGGTGGGTCAGTGATGTGCAAATTTCGCGCCATTGGGGGGAAGGTGGGGATGGACCTTCCCGACGCGGTTGCGAAATTTCGCCTTTTGGGCGCGCGTAGTTTCTCGGGCGGCATTTCGCCCAAACCTCGGAGGAGGGTTCCACCCCCGTTTCCATATGCGGTCACGACGCTGATGCCGTCGTTTTCAATTTAAAAAACGATGTGCTGGCGAACAGCACCTACGGAATCCGGCTGCTGCTGGGTTGAGAAGGAAATCGAAGAAACAATATTTGGGCTGGGGTGCGGGGGGAAAGAAGGGGAATAGAGGGGGGTTTTGGTGGGTTCACACAGGTGTTAGTAGTGAACCATAAGCAAGGAGTGCCCTGTCACAGATCTAGAGCCTTGTCACAGATAATGTCCCATCACAGACTTCGTGCTGACAAGTCAGCATAACAGCGAACAACGACTCACACGAGCAGTCGCCATCGTCACAGATCTCTGGCAGGACGGACGGGATGTTTGGGAGGCGTAGATTTCTCCATACTTTGGGAATGTCGTGCAGTCACGGAAGGAGCTCTCGTTCTTCGCGGCTCGTCTGTTGATGACAGCTTCTAAGAAAGCCATTCCATCTCGTCGAGCAAAAACGGGTGCAAACGGATCGCGGCATTTCCGCTGCAATTTTCTTGAAGCGACTGCGAGTGACAGGACTTGAATCTGAGACGTTTTGCGGGCGAAATGGAATCGGTATTCTCCAAGTCGGCCTCGGGAGCTCCGCGAACGTCACTTCTTAGACTGCACCGTCTAGGAACAGATGCTTCAGCCAATCACCGTGCTCCTTCCTTACTCGCGCGCCGCGTCTGGGAGGACAGGTCATTTCTTGGGAACCTGGCTGGCTGGAAGATCCCGGTACACGCAAGAGCTTTTCCGAAAATGCACGACGCGTTTCGCCTTGATTGGCTGAAAATCTTGTCCCGGATGCTGCTCAGAAACTTACCGCATACCTGCTGAGACAGGTCTCCATGTGCCACGTCACATCAGGAAGGCACTCGTCGCTGGGCTGCAGTATACCGCAGCTGACTCTGCACCGTGTTGTATCACATTGCTGACTCAGCTGGAGAGGTTCTTTCACGCTGGTTCGGCACGGAGGTGCCGTTCATGAGCAGGGAGCCACTTAGCAATGAGCTGGGTGTGACGTTCCACGTCATGGCGTGGAACGTCGATGTGGGTTGCAAGATTTCCGGTGCTCACGCTGATCCCCACCCACCCCGTGTCGGTGGGTCCCGCTTATGCAACTTTTCTCCGGGGAGTCAGCGATGCGCTGGACGCTTTCCGCGAATCCGCCCGCGGAACCATCGCGAAGTCAGCGTACGGAGCGCCAGCGCAGCGCCGGCGCGCGTGCGACCGATCTTGACGCGGACCGCCTTGAGACGCTCCAGCGCAACGCGGAGAGGGAGGAGTAAAACCATTCGCGGGGGAAGGAGAGACTCGGCTTCGATCCTATCGCAAGCTGGAATGCATCCTCGCGGGGAGGAAATTCCTCCTGACGGCGTTCCGGTTGCTTCCTTACGTCCGCCACACGTTTCTTGCACCGGAACGCGACTGCTCGGGGAAGGCAAGAAAGGCAAGGGAAGCGGCCCTTCCAGGGGGGAGGGGAGGGGAGGGGAGGGGAGGGGAGGGGAGGGGAGGGGGGAAAACCATTCAGAGTGGAAGAGGCACCTCCCCTGGGGGAATCCTCCCAGCTTATGGGGTCAGAGGAGCTGGGAGGCGGAATGGCACTGTTTTGCTCCGTCTCGATCCATCGCTTTCAATACCGCGATTCGCCCCGAGCGTCCGGACCCCACACTTCAGGCCGTCATTCGTGACCCTCGTCTGTCCTGTGATGAGACGTTTCTCACGATTCGTGACCCTCCCCTGTCTTGGAATATCGGCTGCTCGGGAAACTCAGCGCTAGTTGGTGTGTTTTCAGCTAAACCGAGCTCGCCATTTCCTCCTCAATCCGTCGTGGTTGTGCTCTCAGAAAGCGACCTCCAATTCAAGCCGACCTTCTAGCCTGTCCTTTTGCAACTGACGATTTTCTTCACTCACCTCGAACTCAGAAAGCGACTAGCTGACCTCAATTTTCCTTAAGTTGACTGATGGAGATAGTTTAGACTGGGATTCTTGCTGCAGATTGATCGACCCTGGCGCTTTCAGCGCGGTTCGTGTACGCTTCCTCTCGGAAAACGGCATCTGAGCTTCGAGAGCTTCTTTGCTGGTCTTGGGAATTTTCAGAACTGAAAGTGACTTCCGAGCGACCTTACTCGAGCCTCTAACAAGTCTCTCCTAACCCCACTTGCGAGCGTGACTTGTTTCCTCAAGCAACGCTCGAGCTTGGGATTGGACAGTTGCGGGAAGGGAGGCGGGCGGGAGACTGCGCGCTGAGTGGGAGTGTCTGGTGTGGAATAAGATAGCTCTGTCGCACAGAGGGGTGCAATACAGTGCATGTGTGGGTGTGGCGATGAGATGAAGGGTGCAGTGAGTGGCAGTGTTACAGTCATGGCTCCAGGTGCTGCAACGGGGAAGCTAGGATGCATGGCTGCTGGGAATGGGACTGGCTGCTTTGGCCTTTCAAAACGGATGGGAACGGAAGAGATGAAACCGGACTGCGATGAACTGGGAGGGGAGAAGGGAAGCAATGGCGATGGTCACTGGGAGAGCTGCTGCAGCTGGGAGGGCGAGCGTGGGTGTGGGTCTGAGAATGGGAAGGAGAAGAGCGATAAGAGCGAGAAGAGGCAGGAAAATGGCAGGGCTGATGCAGGTTGCGGGCTGCCTGATGGTGAGAGGAATGAGAGCGGGAATGAGAAGATTGACAAGAGTGAGAAGGGGGACAAGAGTGAGCATGAGAAGATTGAGAATGGGAAGAGCGAGAAGAGTGAGAATGAGAAGAGTGAGAATGAGAAGAGTGAGAAGGAAGGTCAACACGAGGCAGCGGTGCCTATGGAGGAAGACTCAGCACCACAGCCTGCTGCCAAGGGTGCAACCAACGGCAGTGGCGGTAAAGAGGAAGCTTATAAGGGGGACGGCGCTGAGGCGATGCAAGTGGAGGAGGTGGGAGATGACGCAGGAGGCTATGGGGGCATGGAGGTAGTTGCAAGTACGCCAGAGTTGGAGAGAGAGGTGAAGGGCGGAACCCGGACGTCTAGCAGCAGCACTGATGACAGCGGATTTAAATTGGATGGCATGCTGAGTCAGCAAGGGGTGGAACCTGTGAGATTGCTGGCCGGCACGCTGAGTCATCGTTCGACAAACAGTAACAGCAGTTACCAGGCCGGCGAATCCCCAGCCCATGGTAAGGGCGAGTGCGTGGACACAGGGGACGCAAGAAACATAGGAGAAGCAAGGCAAGCAGGGAAAGCAGGGGAAGCAGGGAAAGCAGGGGAAGCAGGGAAAGCAGGGGAAGAGGTGTCCAACAAGGTGAATGCGGATGCACAGGCAGCAATGGCCCATGCAGGAGAAGAAGCAGTGGCGGCAGCAGCAACAACAGTAGCAGCTGCAACAGCACCATCGGCAGCAACATCGGCAGCACAACCACTGGTACCAGTACTGCCACCAGCGGCACCACTACCACCAGCAGCACCAGCAGCACCAGCACCAGCACCAGCAGCAGCAGCAGCAGCAACAGCAGCACCAGCAGCAGCAGCAGCAGCAGCAGCAAGCACGCGAGTGGTGACCTGTGAGGAGCTCCAGCGTCAGCTGCAACCGCTCCTATCGCACAAAACAGGCTCCTCTCCCCACCCCTCTCCTCCCTCCTTCCGCTGCGCCTCCCTCTCTCAGAACAAACTGCCTCTGAAGCGTCCCTTCAGTCTCACCCCACTCGGTTCTACTGCTGCTGCTGCTGCTGCTGCTTCCACTGGTTCAGCTCCTGCCGCCACTGGCGCTACTACTTCTGTCATTGCTGCTGCGGTTGCCATGGGCGCTAGTACTGCTGGCCCAGCACCACTCACACCAACTGCCGCCTCGCCCCTTACTCTCTCCGCTTCCCACTCTCTTCCTCCTCCTCCCCACTCTCTTCCTCCTCCTCCCCACACTCCCTCCGCAGCAATGTCAACAGCCCTGCCTGCCCTCCCCCCTCGCCCTGCCCCTCCGCCGCCCAGCCCCCTTTCCATCCCTATCGCCCTCTCCAGAGGCTTCATCACCCCAAGGCCGGCACAAGAAGACAAAGCAGGCCACCCAATGGAATCCCACGGGCAAGGCTATCAAGAGCAGCAGCAGCATTCTCTACAAGCAGCAAGCCACGCAGCTCATGGCTCTAATCATCACTTTCGTTTGAATCACACGTCTCTGCAAGTTAATCCCTCCTCTTCTCCTGCTTGGCATCATGCTGCTCCGTTCAATCGCAATGCTCCTTTCAGTCACACCAATCAATTGAATCACCATGCCCTGCATCAGCAGCACCATCAGCAACAGCAGCAGCAGTCACATGCTGCACCTCTTCTTAAATCCCCTCAACCGTCCTCTCGATCTCCCTTCTCCCCACCTTCCCCGCTTCAACATTCCTCCCCACTCCACCGTTCTTCCCCACTGAATCGCCCCTCCCCTCTTCACCACTCCTCCCCTCTCTCCCCTCCTTCCCCCCTCCATCGCTCCTCACCTCTCGCCCCTCCTTCTCCCCTCCACCGGCGCTCCAACCCACTCGCCCATCTCCACCACTCCTCACCTTCCACCACCCTTCTAAACCACGAGCTCGCCCATTTCTTCTCCTTACCTGAGCTTGATGCCTCTATGCTACACAGCAACTCCTCTCCCTGCGTTCTGCCCCTCGACCTCTCCCCGAGCCTCTCCATGCCGAACCAGCCTGCGCCGAACCTAGACCACATGCCAAGCCTGAGCTTGCCACCCCCGGCAACAGGCCTGGGAGATGGTGGGGAGGCTGGGCAGGGGACGTTGAGGTTGGAAGGGGGAAAGGGTTGTAAGGGAGGGGAGGAGGAGGAGAGGATAGGGGAGGAGGAGGAGAGGAAGGGGGAGGAGCGAGTGAGTGCTGTAAAAGAGGAGGAAAGGAGGGGAGAAGGGGAGGGTATGGTGGAGGGTGACGAAAGGGAGATGAAGTGTGAGGGTGGTGATGGTGGCAAAGGTGACACTGATGGTGGCAAAGGTGACATTGACGGTGGCAAAGGTGACATTGACGGTGGCGGCCAGAAGGGTGGCAGGATAGGTGCCGATGCGGGTGATGTGGAAGGTGGCGCAGGAAGGCGAGACGAGTTGATGAAGGGGAAAGAGGAAGGAGTGTCAAAGTCAGCATGCCTCCCTGCTGGATTACTCCCTATGGCCGTAGTCGAGGCTTCAGCTGCACCTTCCCTGGCCGCTGCTTCTCCCCTGTCTGCTGCTGCTGCTACTGCTATTGTTGATGCTGGTCCGGCTGCTGGCTTTACCGCTGGTACTGCTGTTGCAGCAAGTACAGGGCGGCAGCAGCAGCAGCAGCAGCAGGTGGAAGGGAAAGTGGAGCAGCAGAGGCGCCAGGAGGAGAGGGAGAGGAACAAGACCAGGTGGAAGGGGCTCATTGCGTCTCATCCTCTTTATAAGCAGATGCTCAACGCCCACGTGGCGTGCCTTGAGGTATACACCTCCATTTATTGCTGTGCATTCTTCTAGCTGTCTTTCAAGGTCTCAACACCCTGGTTCGTATCAGCCACCTCCTCGGGTTTCTGTTCTGCATGCTTCCTTCCAGCTATGTGCTCTTCATGTTTCCCTCACGCATCTTTCGCTCCCTTCCACCAGGTGGCGACGACGCGACGCCATTATACCAGCTCACCACTGATTCAAGTGTCGCTTTTGAGAATTCTCAAAAGCCCTTCCACCAGGTAGCGACGACGCGACGCCATTATACCAGCTCACCACTGATTCAAGTGTGGATGGGCATTTGAGCCCCCCAATGCACATCCCGCCCTCCTTTCTCTTCCCCCCACCACCCACTCTCTTACATTTTTCCCCCCTCCTTCCCCCCCTCCATCTACCAGGTGGCAACGCCACTAGACCAGCTGCCGCTGATTCAGGTGCAGATGGAGCGAGCAGACCTCGTTGCCTCCACCTACACTCGCTTGCTCCACGCCTCCGCCCCCACCACCACCACCACCACCACCACTGCTGCCGCCGCTGCTCATGGTTCTTCCGGTGTCAACACCCACAGTGCTTCTGATGCCTCTGGTAATGCCATCGGGTCTGCAAGACCAGGTGCTGCTGCAGCTGCTGGCCTTCCCGCTTCCACTCCATCTGCCTCAGCAGCAGCAGTAGGAGGAGCAGGTGTGGCTGGGGGTAAGGTTGCTGCCAATGGGAACGTGCCATGTGGCAGTCAGGGATTGGCGTCTGAATCGGAAGAAGCTGAGCTGGACAACTTCATGGTGAGTCTGGCACGGCACAAATCAGTCTGCCACAGTGGAATCCAGTCTGGCACGACACGATGAGTGTGGTGATTGTACCACGAGTGAGAGGCCTCGTTGATTGCACATGGGCTTCAGTGAAGAGCGGCTCAGCAACTCAAGACAGACGCACATCCAATGCTCACGTCTCCATTATTTTCTCTCGATTTTCAGGTGACGTGAACATCATCTCGATTCCTAAATTGCCCACCTGATCTTCCACCTCACCTGCCCTCCCCTTCCCGTTTCCCTCCCTCTTTCATTCACTCTCAAAACTAATCCAGGGCCAGTTTGTGAAGCTGCTGCGCGCGTTCAAGGAGCAACTGGAGGACCACAATCGGGTGCATGCAGTAGAAGCGGTTACCACATGCGCCCGGCTCAAACACGCCGTTGCTGCTGCTGGGGGCACCACTGCTGACAAGCTCGCTTCTTAAGGCTCTGCTGTCACTCCTTTTCCTCATCCCTTCTCATCTCTTCCTTCCTTCACCCCACGGTCCGACCCCACTCCCCCCACCCTCAGGGCCAGTTTGTGAAGCTGCTGCGCGCGTTCAAGGAGCAACTGGAGGAGCACATTCGAGTGCATGCCAGGGAGGCCGTCACCACATGCGCTCGGATCAAACACGCCGTTGCTGCTGCTGGTGGCGCTGCTGTCGACAAGCTTGCTGCGTCTGGTGCTACCATGTCGGACGATGGGGCCGGGGGAAGGGGTAGCAAGGCTGAGGAGGATGGGTGCAACAGCCATGGCTATGGTTACACTAGCAAAGGCCATGGCCATGCATGTGGGTATAATGTTCATGGCAATGGGCTGTCAAGCAGCCTTGGTCATGGGTGGAATGGCGCTATTAACCCTTTTACCCCGTCTGCTGCTGCTGGTGGTCGGAGTGGTGGTGGTGGGGTTGGTGGGGGTGGTGGGGGTGGTAGTGGCGGTGGTGGTTGCAGTGGCGGGTGTAGTGGCATGTCAGGCTCGCTCCAGTGTCAGCACCAGGGTTACTCGCAGCAGCAGCAGCAGCAGCAGCAGCAGCAGCATCACCACCACCACCACCATCAGCAGCAACAGCAGCAGAACCAGCCCATGCACGCAACCAATCAGCCTCTCACCCTCCTCCCGCTCCCTCCTCCACAACACTCTACCATGGCATTCGGGGCAATGCAGGGCATGGGGGGTCATAGGAGCATGGGGACGCATGACAGCATGGGGGCACATGGAAGCATGGGGGGGCATGGCAACGTGGGCATGGGGATGGGTGCGGGCATGGGCATGGACATGACAGGGAGCATGGGCATGAGCATGGGCATGGGGGTTGGGGGCCCGCAGGACAGGAGTGCGGTGGAGGAGGCTTTACTCAAAGAATACGGCAGGGAGGTACGGTGATCCTAATCCTTTTGGTACTTGGCCTTTCAGAATCCTATTAATTTGGTTCAGAGTTGTGCCATGCTTGTAACACGTTGCATTTTCTTGCAGATTTCATCCATGAACATACTTCCATTGCCTCACAACACCTTGCAAATCCTTCCAACTCCCTACAACTTTCTTCCAACTCCCTGCAACGCTTTCAACTCCTTGCAACTGCCTTCAGGGGTTCCGCGCTCGCCTGCTGGGAGTGAGGGAGGAGATCATGCGCAAGAGGCGTGCGGGGAAGCTTCCAGGAAACACCACGCAGGTGCTCAAGGCGTGGTGGAACGAGCACATCCAGTGGCCCTACCCCACGGTACAACCCCCTCCCTGCTTGCCAGATCAGCAACCGCGATGCGTCCCCCTGCTTGATTGCCACGTCAGCATGCTGCGCCTGCTTCCTTGCCGAATGAGCAACCGTCTGTCCATGCAGGAGGAGCAGAAGGCAGGCCTCGTGGCACGGACAGGGCTGGAGCTGAAGCAGGTGAACAACTGGTTCATCAACCAGCGCAAGCGCAACTCATGTGCCTACACCCATCTGTCTGTCTCTCCCTCTCTCCCTCCATATCTGTCTGTCTGTGTGCATGGGTGCAGGAGGAGGAAAAAGCAGGCCTCATGGCGCATACGGGTCTGGAGCTGAAGCAGGTGAACAACTGGTTCATCAACCAGCGCAAGCTCACCTCATATTCTCACACCCACCTAACTCTGCATCTCTCCCTCCTCCACATCCCTCCATCCATGTGTATCCATGCAGGAGGAAGAGAAAGCAGGCCTCATGGCACAGACTGGTCTTGAGCTGAAGCAGGTGAACAACTGGTTCATCAACCAGCGCAAGCGCAACTGGCACGGCAACCCTGCTGTCGCAGCAGCGCAGCACAAAGGGCCCAAACAGGCCAAGCGCAGATGAGGGGGTGGGGCAGATAGTGCAGAGGAAATGGAGGGTGGGGTTGGGCGGCTGGGGGTGACGGGGAAAGGGATGATGAAGTGCGAGGTGATAGGGTTACGGGATGGGGAAAGCCACATCAGCAGCAGCAGCAGCAGCAGCAATTTTTCTCACATGTGTACTAGCAGTATTACTTTCTATGCATGCCCACTGAACCATGCATCATTGCTTCTTGCTGTAGTTCAGGTCTCGTGCTGTCTGTACATGTCCGTGGGGTCAGACTGGTAATAAGTGGTAATCTGTACTGTGATGTATGATTGCTAAGGATACCTACATGTTGTGTTATGCTGAAACTTCACCTACAACTAAGTACACATGATACAGGAAGAGATAGGGAGGGATGATCTGTGTTTGTTATGGCAGGTCAACTTATCTTCCAGTAGTACCGTATCATTTTCATTGACTCAAGTGACCCAAGTTGCGTCCTCTCAGCGGTATGGTATCGGTATTTTGACTTATACCTGTTAAATTGTTTCCGGTGCTGTGTTGCACCTGTTGGGCTTTATCTCAACAACACTATTCACTGTAGTGAACGACCTGTTATAAAGGACCTGCCAGAAATTAAACGACCCGTTTTAGTTTGGTACTGTAAAGAACATCACATGTACTGGTAGAGTAGAGTCGTAGTGATGCAAACCACTTGCTATTGATAAGGTGTGAAGCGTTACAGAATGAACTTGGAGACATCCACCTTCTGCAGCAAGTCACCCAGCGGCCGGCGAACATCCTGAGAGAGAAGCAGGGGAGTGGGGCCATGGGCGGAGTCAAAGAGATTAGGGGTGGGGTGGAGAGACAAAGAGATTTGAGGCAAGGAGACAGGGCGTGAAAATTAAGAACCGGATGGAAGGGACAGCTGATGCTGTCTGACCTACATCTGCATTTTCCTTGGCGGTAATATAGCAATTATATAAAGGCAAACGCAAGCCAAAACAAAGAAGAAGAAACGAAAAGATAAGGAAAGGGGAAAAACAAAGAAAGGAAAGAAAAGAAAAGAACAGAAAAAAGAAAGAAAGGAAGAAAAAGAAAAGAAAAGAAAAACTTTCAAAAAGCAAGCAGGCAGGCAGCGTACCTCTTGATCGACCACGCATGTCTCGCCCTTCCTCTCCGGCGCATGGAAGCTGATGTCCTCCACCACCCTCTCCAACACCTGCCATGGTGCGTGGGACATGCAATGGGACGCAAGGGCATGCAATGCCTAGGAGAAGGTGAGCATGGGGGTTGAGATGTTGCTAGCTTCAACCCTTCTCCTCGGGCGCATGGAATCTGATGTCCTCCACCACCTGCCAGGGCGCCATGGGGGGCATGCAATGGGATGCAAGGAGGTGCAAGGCGATGGGAGAAGGTGAGCATGGGGGTTTGAGATGCTGCTAGCGCTCTCGGGCACATGGAAGCTCATGTTCTCCACCACTTGCTCCAACACCTGGCATGATGCCATGCAGGGAAGGGGGTGAAAGGATGCAAGGGAGCGTAGGGGGATGTGAGGGAATGTATGGGAGTAAGCTGGGGAATCGACAGGCAGCTGATGCCCTCTACCACCCATGGTGCCATGGTGCCAACACCTCCCATGGTGCCATGGTGGAACGGGGGGAGCATGCAAGGAAAATGCAAGGAGATGCAAGGGGATGCAAGGCGGAAGTCTCACTTGAGTCTTACAAACCACGTGCAAACTCGCAGCGATCTCACCCAGTGTCATCCGGTCTCACCCGATGTCACCTCACCTGGTCTCACCCAGTGTCACCCGGTCTCACCCGATGTCACTCACCGTGTGCAACCTTCTTGCACCAATGTTGTCAAGTGTGTGGTTGATCTGCCATCCATCCATCCACACACAGACACAGACACAGACACAGACACACACACACACACACACACACACACACACAGACACACACACACACACACACACACACACACACACAGACACACACACAGACACACAGACACACAGACACACACACACACACACACACACACACACACACACACACACACACACACACACACACAAGAATCCACAGACACACACAGGATATAACACTCTTTTGGGCCCGACTGCACTGCAGATGACAGGCAGGCGAAGGCATATGCCTTTGTGTACAGATTCAAAAGCCCAGCAGCGCCAGAGAAAGTGTTCTGAAGACAAAACAAGACAGCAGTGCATCAGCGGGCTGCAAGCAGTATTGGCTGCTGAGGTACGATGATCATGCTTTCACACCAACACACACCTCAGCAGCCATGGCAGCAGCCTCCCGGATGGCAGCATCAGTGAAGACAAGTTCAACTCCCTCTGTGGCCATCAGAACCTGCTGCTCCTCGCAACACCATAACCCCCTATCTATCCCCTATCCCCACACACACACCGCATACCACACCTTAGCATCGCATGCCGGGCCTCAACGCACCTTAGCAGCCATGGAGGCAGACTCCCTAATAACAGCATTAGTGAAGACAAGTTCAACGCCCTCCGTGGCCATCAGCAGCTGCTGCATGCAACACCAAGACCACCTTTTCTAACTCTTAACCGCGTGCCACACCTCAGCACCACATACCACATCTCAACGCTATGAGCTTTGCACCAACACGTACCTCAGCAGCCATGGCGGCAGCCTCCCGACTAGCAGCATCAGTGAAGACGAGTTCAACTCCCTCCGTGGCCATCAGCAGCTGCTGCTGCTGCATGCAACACCACAACCACCTTCTCTACCCCTTACCGAATACCACACCTCAGCACCGCATTCCATACCTCAGCAGCCATGGCGGCAGCCTCCCGGATGGCAGACTCGGTAAAGACAAGCTCAACGCCCTCCGTGGCCATCAGCAGCTGCTGCTGCCGAATCATGTTCGCCTCTGGCTCTGTGAGAATGCGGTACAGATCCTGATGTGAGGGGGAGAGGAGAAGGGAGAGGGAGAGGGGAGAGTGAGAGAAAGAGTCAGTTCTCCCTCATTCTTGTAAAGAACCCTTCGCCCTTCATGTAAGTGCAAACACAAACCCCTTAAAGCTCGCATCTCATATTTTGTGTTCTCAACCAAGTGTTTAATGCTTACCCACAGACTGTCGCACAACTGCACTGAAGAATGGCCCAGGTTGAGAAAGTTGGTTGCCCAACCACAAACTTGCTTGGCGGTATGCCCAAGAGGGAGCGCTACTGCTGCTCCTTACAGTTATAGGTTTTACTTCCTCTTTTCTCGCCTTTGGACAGAAGATTGCTTACTAATGCAGTGGTATAACCCTGTCTACGTGTAAGGAGGTAAAACGGGAGTGCGTGTGATGGCACATCATTTTTCCCTGCCACTTCTCTCCCTTGCACAATCAGTGTCTCCGTCGTCAGGGTTGGTCGCACAAAGTACAGTACACTCACGCCAAACCTGCCCTACAAGGTGCGGACGTAATCCAAACCTGCCCTTGAGGTGTGGTTCAGGCCTCAACACTTTCCACCTTCGCCCATTTATTTCTCCCGCTCGTCAAAAAAGTTCGTCACTCGTAAACCAATCAGGATCTGACTTTCCCAACCAAGTGTTAAACACTAGTAAATATGAGACGCGAGCTTTAAGCTCCCCCATCTCAACACCCTCTCACACTCGACTCTCTGCAAGCCAGCATGTTGGAGGGGTGGCAGGCGGTGAAAGCACCATCTTCAGCATTCCTCCTTTGACCTCGACCTTAGGGCAGTCTCTTGACTCTCACCTCTCGGGTAAGCCCTTTAATTTTTTAGTCAACTCAAAAATAGACCTTAGTGCAATCTCTCGACTCTCACCTCTCTGGTTAGCCCCTTAAGCTCCACTCTTATGGGCAGACGGCCTTGCAGCTCCGCCAGCATGTCAGAGGGGCGGCAGGCAGTAAAGGCTCCACTGGCGATGAAGAGAATGTGATCCGTGTTGACGTTGCCGTGCTTGGTGGATACCACACTGATGGGGGGGGGGAGTACGGGCAGAGAGAGGAAGGATGGGGGAGGCATGGGCGAGGATGGGTCAGCTGAAAAGCAGGTCGACCAATATCATTGCATGATATTGCCTCCACTCATCCTTTATGCAATATCATGCATGCCATACCAAGCATGCCATAGCCATACCATGCACACTGTACCATGCTGGGCAACAACCTACCTCGAATGATGGACAGCACGCCCTACCATACCATACCATGCATACCGTACCGTACCCTACCCTACCTTGCACGATGCCATACCTGCCCTCAATGATGGGCAGCACGCCCTACCATACAATACCATACATACTGTACCGTACCGTACCCTACTGTGACGATGCCATACCTGCCCTCAATGATGGGCAACAGGTCCCTCTGCACGCCCTCAGCGCTGGCATCAGCGCCGTGCCGTGTGTCGCTGGAATGCACGATCTTGTCAATCTCGTCTATGAACACTATGCCCTCTGACTCCGCTGCCTGAAGCACGAGGGGCAATGCACGGGGAAGGGAGCACAGGGGCAGCAGAAACGCCGCGTGTCGCTGGAATGCATGATCTTGTTGATCTCGTCTATGAACACTATGCCCTCTGACTCTGTTGCCTGGAGAATGGGGGAGCATGCACGGGGGAGGGAGCACGGGGCATGGAGCACAGGGGCCGGATTATCATCGCGTGTCACTGGAATGCACGATCTTGTCGATCTCGTCAATAAACAGTATTCCCTCTGACTCCGTTGCCTGCATAGGGTAGAGGGCACACGAGCAAGGGGCGTAGGGGAAGGAGGAAGGCATGGAGTAAGGGCAAAAAAAAAAAAAAAAAAAAAAAAAAAAAAAACATTTAATTCAGTTACTCCAGGACTAGTATGCTCTCCCTCCCTCCACTGCATCTCCAGGCGCTTCTCCATCTCTGCGTCAGTCAGCTCCTTCCCCTGCTCCCTGCCCATCTGCAAACAAGCTTCGACACTCCCACATCTCTCCTCTCACCTGGATCGCATCCTTCACGAGCGATTCAGACGACAGGCGCTTCTCCATCTCTGCGTCA